TGTAACAGGAGATGAAACAGCTTTACCAGTATGATCCTGAAGACAAAGTGGAATCAAAGTACAGAAAGTACCACGAGATGAAAGTGGTCCAGTTAATGAAAATGTAGTATTTTGGGGGGATGCTCAAGACATTTTGCTTGTTGACTTTCTGGACGATGAAAGAATGATGCCTCTAATTATGAGAGTGTTTTGAGAAAGTTAGCCAATGCTTAGGAAGTAAAACATCACCAGAATCCTGCTCCACCATTACAATGCTCTTGCTCATCCTCTCAAGGAAAAGGACAATTTTGTGAGTTTTGGTGGGAAGTCTTTCAGTTTTTTCCTTTTACTATGGGTATCTTTTCTTAAGCTGTTACAATAACGGTCTTATGCAATCTTTGTCCTTTTGTTCATCTTAAGTCTTGACTAGGCTCCTTCTGACTTTGTTTCCTTATCTTTAAAAAAATCTCTAAAGGACTCCATTTTTCTTAAGCTAGTAATATAAAAACAATTGCATTGATAAAATTAAATTCTCAGGACCTCCAGTTCTTTAGATGAGTAACTGGCTGGTATCATCACTAACAACAACTGTCTTGATCTTGATGGCAGCCTATTTTGAGAAACAGTTTTTATTTTCTATCTTTTAACTCCATTTCCCCACTACTTTTTTTGAAGACCCCTTGTATGACTGGTTAGATCTGATTCATAGCCTGTGATTCATAGCCAAAAGGCAGACTATAGAAAGAAAAAGTAGATGAATCTAAGAATGGTATCATGAACAAAAGTGCTAATTAATACAAACACTAGCCAACACACATTAGCACTTCCCATTTTCCTGGCACTATTCTAAACACATCACATGTAATATGAGGATAAGTCAAAAATCTTGCTGCTAGGGCTCCATTTCATACACAAACAGGTTTATTTCAAACAAAAGATGTTTAAACATGTGTTTGCTATCAGTGGATGGTTTTAGACAAGTTGTCCAAGTCCCACACTTGTCTTCACCTCCTTAGGTTGCCTTCAAAAAGTAAAAAGTAAGAAAGGTCCAAGCAAAACAATGGCTTTTCCGAGGGCATCTGCTGGGCTAGTTATACTCAAAGCTGAGGAATCAGCTGAGTTTATGGCGAATTTTGTTTGGATTCCAAAGGAGTAATTTTAATAGATTTTCTTGAAGAGCACAAGATAACCATGGGAGCTTATTACAAAGTTTTCAGAAAACTAAAAACTGCACTGGTGAGAAAAAGGCCATGAAATTTGTGTTAAGTAATTTTTTTCCCCCGTTACAACAACGTACCTGCCCATACTCTGAGGGTAACAAGGGCTGTACCATGATAATTTTGTTGGGAAACTATATTGCATCCACCCGACAGCCCTGCTCTTTCCCCTTGAGACTTTCCTTGTGCTCCCCCAAATCAAAGAACATTTAAAGGGAGCATGACTTGAGTCCCTTGATAATGCCAAAACTGTGGTCTTGATGTGGCATAAATCGAAGTGCACAGAATTCTTAAAGAAAGCATTGGAGAGATGGAAACATCACCTTCAGAAGTTATATACCCAGATGGAAGGTATGTAGAGAAACAATAACTTTACATATATTTTTGTTTAATAAAGGTTTTATGATTTCATAGCAATATTTTTTGACTTACCCTCATATGTAGTATAAAGCCTGGAGGAAAGTCCAGGCCATGCACAGGACATGATTTGGTTGTAATGTAAGGCAGTAAAGGAGTCCTGGTGTGGCGCTGTGGGTTAATGTGCCAGACAGCAAAGCCGTTTGAACTGCAAGGTCGGCAGTTTCAAGCTCACCAGCTGCTCCTTGGAAACCCTATACAGGGTGGCTATGGGTTGGAATCGACTCGATGGCACTTGACAACAGCAACAAGGCAGTAAAGGGGAGTAATTGGGGTAGGAACAGACGATGAAGAAACTTAAATGTGAAGTTATATTTAATTTTATTCAAGTACGAGCCAGTGAAGTCAATGTACAAAGGGCAACACACCCATAGTTTTAGATTAAGATAATTAATCTGGATAAGAGGAAGAAAAAAATGAGAATTGAGCAATTTAATAAGCCATTTCAAATATAAGTAAGAAAGCACTGAAGTGTAGGTGATGGTTGTGGGAATGAAAAGGAAAAAAGAAACTCTGTGTAGACTGACTGAAAAAGTAGGGTTGTCAGCAAATGGTGGTTCAGTAGATGAAGATGAAAGATAAGAGTTGAAAATGACAAAGAAGCTCCCTACTTGATTGATTAAATGAATGATGATATGTTGTTGTTAGCTGCCAGAGAGTCAATTCCAAGTCATTGTATTTACACAGTAAAATTGCTCATAGGGTTTTCTTGGCTGTGGTGTTGCAGGTTAATGTGCTAGACTGCAAGATCGATTTGAACCACAAGGTCGGTGGTTCAAGCTCACTAGGTGCTCCGCGGAAACATTATACAGGGTTGCTATGAAGAGGAAACAACTCAGTGGCATTTAACAACAACAACAACACCAATCTGAATGAATGAAGCCCTGGTAACACCATGGCATAAGTGATGGTTCAAGCCCACCAGTCATACCACAGGAGAAAGACATGGCAGTCTGCTTCCATAAAGAATACACACAGCCTTGGAAACCCTATGGGTTCACTATGGTGGTTGTGGTTTTGTGCCATTAAGTCGGTTCTGACTCATAGTGACCCTGGATAGGGTTTCTGAAACTGTACAGGAGCAGAAAGCATCATCTTTCTCATGTGGAGACCCTGGTAGATTCAAAATGCTGACCTTGGGGTTAGCAGTCCAGTTTATAATCCACAGTCTAACAGCAACAGGAGTCTAAATGGAACCAGACAGCCAAGCCTTTTCTTCTGCATTTAGCAGTAAGCATAAACAATTTGCACCACCTAGTCCTGGTATGGTGCTGTGAGTTAATGTTCTTGATGGAGAGTTGTCTGAACCACAAGGTCGGTGATTCAAGTTTACCAGTCACTTCTCAGAAACCCTATAGAGGTCACTATCGGTTGGAACCGACTCGACGGCACTTAGCAACAAGTGACCTTATAGAACTGGTGTGGTGCTGAAGGATAAGGACCGGCTTTCAAACCACAAGGTCAGCAGTTCAAACCTACCAGCTACTTCTGGGAAACCCTATACAGGGTCGCTATGAGTCAGATCTGACTCGACAGCACTTGACAACAACAACAACAACAGTGACCTTATGATTGTTGTTGTTGTGAAGTGACATCGAGTCAGTTCCGACCCATAGCGACCCTGTAGAGGGTTTCCAAGGAGCAGCTGGTGAACTTGAACCACTGATCTTGCAGTTCAAATGGCTTTGCAGTCTGGCACATTAACCCACAGTGCCATACCTTATGATAATAGCTAAAGTGACCAAGTCTGGGATGAGAATTGACTTAAAGGAAGCATGATGACGAATTTGATTTTGGCCATTCTAAATTGAAGTAGTCAACAAATTCTCAGAAGAGAATATCAAGCAGGTAATTCCAAATGTGACTCCATATCTCAAAAAAATTAGAGTTGGGAAAACTCAAGTTTCTGGAGTACATGAAACTATAAAAAATAAAGAGCATAGAGAATGAAGAAAATAGACGTACAATAGATTGGCACTCAACTCCTAATGCAACATTTGTTTAGTCAGGAGGTTTGTAAAATTTTAAAAATTAAAATTTATTAGGATTTATTAGGAACACAATTACAGAGAACAAAGTTCAGGAATTCAACGATGATCACCAGTATGTGCTTCATTGCGGCTTTTTAAACCGTATTTCTTATGATTCAAATTTATTTATAATGTAGTTGAATTTCATACATAGCTGCACAAAATGGACATTACAGATCTTCCAATGGTAAAATTAATGAAAAACATATCGCTCATGAAAGGCACATAAAGAATTTAAACATATTTAAGAAATTTTGATAACTGAATTTCTTTACATTGCAGAAAAGAAAAACCACTTCCCCAAGTAAAACAGATATAATGTAGTTTATGACTACACCACACACATATACATAGTTCAACATACATAAAATGACAACACATAAATTTATAAACTACTTACCAGCAAAGCTTACTAAAGTCTAACTTTTTCAAAATGAGTTAAAAAAAAAGGTGGATTGGGGTAGAAAATAATACTAATTTTGCCAAAAGAAAGTCACAGAGACATGAATAGTGAAAGAAAAACCCCCACAACTGATTATATCAAATTTCACTACCTAGCTAATATGCAACAATTATTTAAACATACATAGAATCACTGACTTTATTAAACACTATTACTCTTTTTCTAAGTGTAATTGCCCATTTAATTCCTCAGAAATAATTACACATTTTCAAAAGAAATAACATCAATTCAAGCACGTGGTGGAAATCTGAATAATCTATGTAAGGGAATAAAGTAATGTTAGCATAGTGTGATTATTTGGAACTAGTTACACATAGGCATTGAAAGCTTGCATTATCAGCAGTAGGTTATTGAAAGATCTTTCTTGCTCTCTTCCAAACAAGGAGCTATCATGTATGCTAGGTACAAGAGATTTCCCAAAGGAAATACACAAATGAATGTCTCAAAATTCATTATGCTGACATTTGTTTTGTTTTGTTTTGTTTTTGGGCCCACAAAAAACTATCAACATCCATCTAAACTTAGTTTTAAATAAAAATGTAGTTATTGAAAGAGTATAAAAATTAATCTGGGCATCACCTTTAAGGCAATGCATGGATATCATCCAAATATTAAAATTCAACATGAAAACAAATCAAATGAATAAAAATTAAGAGTATACATTAAGTCTAATATAGCATATCCTCAAAAAGCCGAACTTTTAGTTTTCTGTACCAAATCCAAAATAGAACTAAAGCAGCATGCACTCTTAAAATAACATAAAAAATAAAATGTATATGGTGTTTACATAATGGATCAAAAGGTAGGAATAGCCATCCTCTTAAGAACAGCCAAATAAAACACATTAAATGTAAAGAACAAATTATGTTATTAAAATAGTCTGTGCAATGTTTGTACAAATAACATTTTTATGATTATAAGTATACATACAATCAAGATAAGATCTGCAATATTTCCTAATATTAATTATTGTACTTAAAAATTTATAGGACATCAACATAAACAAAGCTGTTTAAAACTGGCAAACATAATAATAGTCTGTCATTCAATATAAGGTACTCAGTATTTCTGCTATTTCCCAAAGCCATTCACACTAGAATCTTAAGTTGTCATTCTTAAAACTTAAAAGCAATATGAAAAACTAAACTTATAAATACATGTATACATATATTTGCATATTTACACATAGGCAAAAACCATCAATACACTAGAGCCTAGCTTCAACACCGTCCTTCAGTTTCACACTGCAGAACCATCCTTCACTTTCAAGAAAGGTCCTTTTCTTAGTTAGGGATAACAAAACAAAACAAAATGGAACAACTTTGGTCAGGTCCCAGAGGCATCTGCTGTCACTACATTCTGTGTTGTTGCATAACTCTAGTATAGAGATCCACATATAAGTACTCATTTGGTTTGAAAAATTCATTTTACCATTGACTGAAAAACTTAGAAGAGGCCACAATCTTTTAGATTATTTTTTATGATGACATCTGTTACGGCATCAAAAACAAACTGCACATTCTTAGTATCTGTGGCACATGTGAAGTGGGTGTATATTTCCTTTGTGTCCTTTCTTTTATTGAGGTCTTCAAACTGACACTGAATATATGCAGCTGCCTCTTCATATGTGTTTGATCCTGAGATGAGGAAAAGGAAAAGAAATATATCGTGAGGTTAAAATGAGTAGATTGCTAAGCAAATATGGACCTTAAAATATTGACGTGAGCTTCGCATATGTAAATTATTTGCACTTTTCCTTCTGGAGCCAGAGAAATTGTTTCTTCTGAATGAAAACCACCCAATGTTACCCTTCGATGACTGTAAACTACCCTTAAAAAAATTCTCTTTTTATATGCCGTTCAGTGTTCTCCATAGTTTCTGTTCCTGCTGAAGTGTCCACATGTCAGATCCCTTATGTTTCATCTTAGTCCTTATCCTCACACCCCAACACTGAACTACCCACAGTTTCTGCAATGGCATGCTATGTCAGTTTCTGGCCAGTACTTATTCAATTAATGCTGCCCCAAACCTAACCAGTAATTTTTTATTATCTTCCCCATAAATACATTAGCATTTCATTTTCTTTATTCCTAAATTACACAGTGGTCCCATTGTAAGTAGTACTACAAGGTTAAATAAGTGAATGGCACATTCCTAGTTCTCAGGTTACTCATTAAGGACTTTCTCTGCATACAAACACTTCAGAAATGGTTTGGCAGTATCCAAAGCTAGTCACATGCATATTCTGTGACTGAACATTCAGTTTCGAGGTGTACACCTGATTGTTGTTGTTAAGTGCTGTAGTCAGTTCCAACTCATAGCGACCCTGTCCAAGGTTTGCAAGGCTTTAAATCTTCGCAGCAGCAGAAAGCCTCATCTTTCTCCTTAGAAGCTGTTGGCAGGCTCGAACCATGGACATGTGGTTCATAGTCCAGGGCTTATCGCAGGGAGCCAATATTCTCCCTGTATACCTAATTTTGTTGTTATTGTTAAGTGCCGTCGAGTCGACTCCGACTCATAGGGATCCTGTGTAGCATTTCCAAGGAGCAGCTTTGAACTGAGTCTGAACTGCTGACTCTGAGGTTCAAACCGACCTTATGGTCCAGCACATTAACTCATAGCATCAAACCAGGGCTCCATATACCTGATTGTTGTTGTTGTTATTATATGCTGTGGAGTCGGTTCCGACTCATAGCAACCCTGAACAGGGTTTCCGAGGCTGTAAATCTTTACGGGAGCAGAAAGCCTCATCTTTCTCCCGCGGAACAGCTGGTAGTTTTGAACTACTGACCTTGAGGTTCACAGCTCGATTCATAACCACTATGCTACAAGAGCTCCTTCATATACCTGATAGACCTGTGTATATATGTTTATCAAAATATATATACAAGACTGTTAGTGCAGCACTACTTGTACTTCAGGAAGCAACCTAAATATTCATCAATAACAGACTGGCTAATAAATTACAATATATTCAAATAATGAGCTGCCATACAGTAATGAGAATAAGAAGGCAAACGTGACTGCTAAACATCACAGCATGGATGGATCTTACAAACATGCTACTAAACATGGGAAGCCGTACACAAAACTGTATATACTTTATGATGAAATTTGCAAAAAGTTTTAAAATACTCAAAATCAAATGATGAAGACAAAGGTCAAGATAATGTCTACCCTTGGTAGGAGTTGCGGTGGGTCGGGGTATTGATCGGTCCACTGGGAGGGGGAATGGTGGGACTTTTAAGGTCCAGGAAATGTTCTTTTTCTTTGTTTTGGCATTAATTATGCTTTTTCTATTGCATGTGAAAATATATACAACAAAATGTATACCAGTTCCACAACTTCTACATGTACAAACTCAGGGACACTGGTTGCATTCTTCAATGCTGAGTTTCTTGACTTCATTGGTGAAAACATTGGACATATGGTTCACCTTAAAAAAAATTAATAGAACTTCGCACTTATGCCGAATACTTTTACATCTGTTATACTTAAATGTTGAATTTCAAAAACTACTTACTTGGATAGTAACAATCCAAATTTATTTGCCTCCTTGTTAAGGTCCTTTACTTTTGTAATAGAGTCCCTGGTTGTGTGAATAGTCAATACACTCGGCAGTTAACTTAAAAGTTGGTGGTGTGAGTCTACTCAGAAACATCTTGGGAAAAAGTCTGGAAATGCAATTCTGGAAAAATCAATCACTAAAATTCTATGAATTACAGTTCTACTCTGACATATTTACTCAGAAACATCTTGGGAAAAAGTCTGGAAATGCAATTCTGGAAAAATCAATCACTAAAATTCTATGAATTACAGTTCTACTCTGACATATTTAGGGTTTCTTTGAGTCCAAATAAACTCCACTGCAACTGGTTAGACTGATTAACTTTTGTATTGTTATTCTTAAATACTTTACTGTACATCTGAGGCCTGCTTTATGTCATGGAAACCACTACATAAGCCGTATTTATGTTGCTGTATTGCTCTCCCTTCCCTGTACTTAACCAGCTGACAGATCTAAATGTTTTTACATTTTTCATAAGTGGACTGCCCAAAACATTTTCTGATTAGCCAAATCCAGATGGGTTCTCTATCTCTTAAAAATGTTACCTTCCACTTATTTTTTGTTATTTTTTTTTACAGGAACTCAAATTCTTTTTGGTGTTAAAGTCTTCTGAACTAGAATGTGACGCTTAAAGAAAAAAATCATGTTCTACAATCCTAGCCCCACTTTTTATGTTTTGCATAACTCCTTGTAAAATGCAATGTGACAAACGCCCATAGGAATTCATAATATTAGAGATAAAAAGTAAACAAAACTATGGTCTTCAAATAATTAACACTTTGACACTTACAAGTTGCTAGAGATAATCATATAGCTTTGTAAATTACATTTTATTTTACTTCCTTAAATAATAATAAGGTTTTTTGTTGTTAAGCACTGTTAAGTCGGTTCTGACTCATAGTGATCTTATAGGGTTTCTGAGAAGTAGCTGGTAGGTTTGAACCACCAATCTTATGATTAGCAGTACAGTGCTCATTCTACAGTGCCACACTAGGACCTCATAATAAGGTTGTTGTTAAGTGCCATGGAATCAGTGTGGACTCATAGCGACCCTGTATAGCGTTTCCAAGAAGTAGCTGGTGAGTTTGAACTACCGACCTTTCAATTCAATTCAAACTGACCTTGCAGTTCAGTGCATTAACCCACAGCATCACACCAGAAAGAGACATATTTGAAAAAAAAAAAAAAAAAAAAAAGATGAGTTGAGTTTGAATTTCAGGTTAGAGAAACATGCACATGTCCAACAAGCAGTTAGAAATGCAAACCTGAAGCTCTAGAAAGAAACCAAGGTTAAGAACATAATTTAACACAGTGAGTTTAAATAGGACTGTGAAAGGATAAAGAGCAAAAAGATTACAAGACTGAAGACAGAACCTGGTGAAATGCCAACACAGAGATCGAAAGAAGAGAAGAAAGAAACAAAAGACAGAGAGGGAGAAGATAAACCAAGAGAGTCTTCTGGAGACTATATCGGTTATTTTATAGGAAGCAAGAGTAATTGGAACCAAGAGTGGAGGTAGAAGCAAGATGCACTCAGTGGATACAACGAAGACTATAAATTACAATCTGCACAGTGAAGATGTGAAAGACATATGTATCCTCCTGTTTGGTTCTGAGTTCAGGGGCTCTGAATATATAAGTACAAATATTAAGGACACATTGTAGGTGTACCTAGCTAGGAAAGAACTGACAAGGATATTCTTGGTTGGTCTGAAATCCCTGTAGGTGCACAATGTTTATGGATTCATCTGGGAACTCAGGTGATATTAATTAGTATGAAATGGCTACTTGATAATAGAAAAAGATAAAAATAAACGGAAACGTAGTGTCAAGGACAAAGTGGAGCCATTTTGTCTTTGTTTAACTTCAATCTTAGAAAGAGAACTGTAATTATAATAGAACTATAAATAAACTGGGAATTTATTCCTAATAAGCACTGGAAATGTTTCTGAATGAGGTGACTTAATAGATTATGGCTTTAAAAGAGAACAGAAATCTTAAAATAAGCAACAGTGTGAAATTATTTTGAAGTAAAGTACGAGTATAACTTTGTAACACATGAAATGTGCTATAAGTACTGTGATTACATTTATTACAGAAAGCTTCCCCAATTCCTTTCCAAAGAGAAGCTAATTAAAAGTAGTCTAGTTGTTAACGGCCTGAGCATCAGAGCCCAAAAGGCCTGGGTCTGGGTCTGGATATAGACTCTGTCACTTGTATTAAGTGTCAAGTCGGTTCCAGCTCATCGCGACTGAGTATAGGGTTTCCAGGAAAGGCTGGTGGGTTTGAAGCATTGTCATCTGTAAGAGTGGAACTATAAGAGTGCTGGCAAAAGGAGGGCGCTGTACAAGTTAATAGAAGAAATGACTAAAATTTTGTTTAAAATGAAACAAATTCTTGAGACTTTTTTTTTTTTTTAAATAAAAATAATGGGGTGAACGTAAGCAACTTGTATCCATTAGCTAAATTAAACCTTTCATAATATTCAGATTTAGAGATTGGATAAACCAGTGGTAATCAAACTTTTTTAAGGCACAGAGTTCCCTTTGTTAAAATAAAATCACATTCATAAGCCAATATGTTAAAACAGATGAAAGCTGAGTTAATCTGCTTTAATGAGAGAACTGGCTGTAAAGGGGGAAAGGGTTCAAAACATAAGTAGTCTGTTCCCCACACCCATCGTCTATAGTAGCTCCAGGATCCAAACTAGAGCCAGTGTCTTACAGATGGGGTACTTAGATCTAGGTAAATTAAATGCCTTGGTCACAATCAAAGAGCTAATTATGGCAACACCAGTACTGAGCTGCAGATCTGCTTTTCCCAAGTAGTAAACTTATAGTACCACTAGCAGTCTCATCAACAAAATGAGACTTTCCTGAAGAGGCTTCACTATTTCCTTCTTCATGTTTTGCCCCTTACAGCAGCATTCATGTTCCTAAAGAGGTTTGTTTAGGAACATAGCTATTACTTACTTGTTGGTTTAATAAGTCTATCTCTTAGATTTAACAGTGAGGAGAGTCACTTATTTTTGCATTATCTAATTCCTGACAAGAAATGTGCTAACTGAATGAACCAACTTACCCAAAGAAGCTTCAAAAAGTTTGTAGAAAATAGAAACTGAAAAAGAATGGAATTTTTCCGCGAACTGAACATAAAAAAATTTAAATATATTTTCAAAATTTTAAATACATAAAGATGTAGCCGTAGCAACAGTGAAAATTACTGAACACCTTTTTCATAAAATGAGCATGTTATTTTCAGCAATTTCATTCCCAACTCATGGAACTATTTGCAAAACCTTTTTATAATGTACTTGAATGCACTATGATAAATAATTTCCCTTTCAAGTAAGAACTCAAAAGATTGAAATTAATGAATAAAATCTTGCCTTAAAGGGAAGTTTCATTAGAAATCTAAGATTTCACAAATTTTCTAAAGAATAATAAAATACCTGCATATTCTGGATAGCATATAGTAAGAGGACTCTTTTTGATTTTTTCTTCAAAGAGATCCTTCTTGTTTAGAAAAAGTATAATAGATGTATCTGTAAACCATTTGTTGTTACATATGCTGTCAAACAACTTCATGCTTTCGTGCATTCGATTCTGTAACAGAAAAGAATACAACTAGTTTTTCATTAATAGCAAAGATTGTGAGAAATACCACATTTAAAAAATAACAAGTGTCCTAGTGACATGGAATTTATAAAGTTGAAAAATAAGTAACATACCACAAAATTAATTTCTGCCATTTCAAAATAAACATATTTTCCTTTTAGCGGAGACGAGTGTCTAATATTCACCCATCCTTTTTGCATTCAATCAATACTTGCTGGTTAACTACTATGTGTCATGCGCCTGGGACATCTACATTCAAGGACTTACAACCTAGGATGCCCATTGTGATCATGTGAAAAGACATCAGATGCTTGTAACTTAAAGATTAATAGAACAACTGGAATCCAATTAACCCCAACACCCTTAACATAATGGTTTACTAGGAAAGGAGAATTCCAGTTCCTATTTCCTGTCCTTCATGAATCTCTGGTTTCTGAATGAGTTCTGTTTTATATTTTTAGTGCCAAAATGAGGGAAACAAATGATGGTGTTGACCGGAACCTACTGTGTATAACTGCATATTGCTAATATTAAATATATATATATATTAAAATGATATTTCTTCCGCATCTTTTCCAACTTGTTTTAGAATTTAAAATGACAAAATTTTAAGTTACTATTTTAAAGTGTTTCCCTCTGATTTATGGTATCTGTAGACATGTCTGAAAATTGCCTGGAAATAGCAAAGCATAGCATTTATCAAAGATGACTGAGCTGACAGAAGCAAACAAAAACAGTGAGCCTTGGATTACAACATAACTAACTTTCTTTTCATTCAGTTGGTAGATACCAGATAACAGGAAAGACATAGTTATGCATGTAGGGTTGGGGCAGACCAGCTTGGAATCTTTTTCTTTTTCTCATTATCCATCTGTGTTTCTCTGGTCTATTTCCCTTTTAGTATGCAATCAGAAAAGGTAGCAGAAAGAGCCTAAACTTTCAAATTCTTGGCAATGGTTCTAACTCTGCATATCATGCTCAATCCTTAGGTGGTTTTACTTGCCATTTCTTCATCTTCAGCTAGAACCAGGTCATAGTCACTAAGCGCTACACAGAAGATAATTGCAGTCACTCCTTCAAAGCAATGAATCCACTTCTTCCGCTCAGATCTCTGTCCTCCCACATCAAACATCCTGTAAGAGGAATAATCATGAGTTGACATCACATTAAATACGTTCAAAAACTCCAAGGAGTTCTGAAATGTCAACAAAACAGCTCTAAAAATCTGGGAAAATATGGGATGGAATGATAGGAGAAAAGGGGAAAAAAAGAATGTCACAAATTGGTTTCACAACGAGGGAAAAAAAAACATGCTATTTGTGTTTTTGGCTTTTTAGTGGGGGAGAACAGAGCACAAAAACAAGTACAAATGAATGGGCTGCAAACTATGTGTAAACACTGAGAAGTCACATGAAGCAAGCAGGGAACACAGAGATAATAGAGTATATGCAATCCGCCAAAGTCACGGAACATTAGCAGCAGAGGACATGGCCCCTCTTTCCACTAGAAAATGTTATTTCTCTCAGAGGCAGTGAATGGGATTTTGATGTTAAGGAGAAGCCACTTCAGGTAAGAAAACACGGGGTAAACAAGTCAGATCCAGAGAGAAGCTAAGAAGGTTTACCTGAATTGAAAAAGTAAAGCTATAATATAAAGAAAATAGAGCTGAAATATGAAATGGGTGGCTGTATTGAAAAGCCCTGACATTTAAAGTGAAAAATACTATTATTATATAATTTATGATATGGAACCATTGCCAAGTCAAGGAACAAGGTAGCTGCCTAATTACAGCAGTATAATGACTGTCCCTCTTTCTACATACAAAAGTTTATACAGTTGAAATCTGCATAGATTATATTACATAATCTAGAAGTAAGTTATATAACTGAAAAACTATGCAAAGTGGCACATTTTTACAGGCTCCATTTATTTAGACAGTGTACTAATTAAAACAGTCCCTATTTAATTCACAGGCAGAAAGAATTTTCCCTACAGAGTAGTACTGGCCTATAAAGTAAAGCTGAGTACATTAACAAGTATTGTTAATTTTATCATCATTTAAGTGGCCTTCATTCTATTGCCTTAGCTAATATTGTTCATTAGGTTCCAAGTATGCTATAAAAAACATATTATCATATAATTTACCAAAGTCGGTAATACACAAAAAGGACAGCTGGTAAAATAAAGGTCAACCAAGGACACACAAAAAATAAATTAAAATGATTATTCATTTTTCCACAGTTCATGACCACAACTTAAAAATAACTCCAAAAGATAACATATTTTGATAACTTTACTGCTCAAATGTCACACATTACCCAGACCACTCAATAAGAAATAATTCATCTCCCATCCCATGCTTACCCTTCTATCTTTGCTTTAACTTTTCTCCGTATCACTTACTTACTATGAACTGATATATTAAATATTTGTTTATTTAATCTCCCCTCCCCACCCCAAGAATAGAAAGAAAAGGACTTTTTATCTTTTTATTCACAGTATGAGCAGAGTGACTGGTTCAGTGCTTGACTACTAACTGAGACTACACTAGGGCTCCTAGGAAGAAAATCTGGTGATGTGCTTCCAAAAGATCACAGCCTTGAAAATTCTATCAGTGCAGTATGACTCAGCACACTGGCTCACGATGAGTTGGAATCAATGATGGCAACCAGTCTTTTATTCTTTACCTCCAAAACTTGTTGTTGTTGTTGTAAGGTGCCATCGACTCCAAAACTAGACATACAATAATTCTTAATGTTTATTTAATGAATAAATGAAATGTGCCTATAGGATATTTTAATGTACTTTCAAGCAAAATAGATTCCTTTTGCTCTGTTGAAATCTACTAGTTACATTGCTAAATATAAAAGAAGTTTTGATCTGATAATCAAGTAACTGAATTATGTAAAACCTGTCTTTAATTTATATATTTATGAACTAAAATGAATGGGGGCCATTTATGAATCAGTTGTAAACCAAGACTATTGAACTGCGTAGTTCTCAAACATTAGTGTGCATCAGATTCCATCAGGTAGATGATGCTGATGCAGCTTATCTAATGTATAAACCAAGGGGCAAAAATGACCAGAACACGTCTTACAAATGATTACATTGTGATTAACAGTTTATTCAAATTTAGAGAGAATTTGTTGGTATTGTTGTTAGGTGCCATCAAGTCAGTACCAATTCATAGTTAACGTATACACAACAGAACAAAACACTGGCCAGCGCAGCACCAATCACATAATCATTGCTAAGTCTGATGTCATTACTGCTGCTGCCAATTATCTCGTTGGGGGTTTTCCTCTTTTTCTCCGACCCTCTACTATATCTAGCATGATATCCTTCTCCAGGGACTGATCCCTCCTAATACTACGTCCAAAGTATGAGAGATGAATCCTGGACACTCTGGATTCTAAGGAGCATACTGACTGTACTTCTTCCAATACAGATTTGTTTGCTCCTTTGGCAGCCCATGGAATTTAATAATCTCCTCCTACACAATAATTCGAATCCATCAATTCTTCTATGGTATTTCTTATTCACTGTCCAACTTCCACATGCATATGAGATTACTGACAATACTATTGCTTGGCTCAGGCACACCTTAGTCCTCAAATCGGTATCTTTGCTCTTCAACTCTTTAAAGAAGTCTTGTGAAGCAGGTTTGCCTATTGCAATGTGTTGTTTGATTTCTTGACTGCTGCTTTCATGACTGTTCATGGTTGATCTGTGCAAAATGGAGGTTTAGACAACTTCTATCTTTTCTCCATTTATATAGGTGTTGCCGATTAGTCCAGTGGTGAGGAATTTTGTTTTCTTTACATTGAGGTGAAACCCATACTGAAGACTGTGATCTTTGATCTTCATCAGTAAGTTTTTAAAGTCCTCTTTGATTTCAGCAACGAAGAATGAATCATCTGCATATCTCAGGTTGTTAATGAGTCTTCCTCCAATCCTGATGTCATGGTTTTCTTCATATAATCCAACTTCTTGGATTATGTGCCCAGTATACAATCTGAATAAATATGGTGAAAGAATACAAAACTGGTCCACAGCTTTCCTAATTTTAAACTATTCGGTGTTCCCTTGTTCTGTTCAAACAACTGCCTCTGGGTCTATGTACAAGTTCCTCATGAGGACAATTAAGTGTCCAGAATACTCATTCTCCACAATGTTTTGTATAGCTTGTCATGATTCACACAATCAAAAGCCTTTGCATAGTCAATAAAGCACAGGTAAACATCTTTCTGGTATGCTCTGCTTTCAGCCAAGATACACCTGACATTAGCAATGATATCCCTCATTGGACATCCTCTTCTAAATCCGGATTGAACCTATTGAAATTATCTGCCAATGTGTGGCTGTAGCCATTTTGGTATTATCTTTAGCAAAATTTTATTTGCATGCAGTATTAATGATATTGTGTGATGACTTCTACATTCCAATGGGCCACCTCTCTTTGGAATGGGCACAAATATGGATCATTTCCTGTCAGATGGCCAGGCAGTTGTCTTCCAAATTTATTAGCACAGATGAGTGAGGTCCTCAGTGCTTTATCAGTTTGTTGAAAGATTCCAATTTGTATTCCATCAATTTCTAGTCCCTTGTTCTTTGACAATGCCTTCCATGCACCTTAGAATTCATCCTTCAGTACCATTGGTTCTTGATCATATGCTGCCTCTTGAAATGGCTGAACATCGACCACTTACTTTTGGTACAGTGACTCTTCCATCTTCTTTTGATGCTTTCGGTATCATTCACTATTTGCCCAGAGAATCCTACAATATTTTAAGTTGAGGCCTGAATTTGTTATTTAATTGCCTCAACTTGAAAAAATGATGAGCATTTTCTTTTTTTGGTTTTCTGCCTTTAGGTCTTTGCAGATTTCGTTATAAATTTTACATTGCCTTCTCAAAAGAACCTTTGAAATTTTCTTTTCAGCTCTTTTATCTCTTCATTTCTTCCATTTGTTTTAGCATCTCTATGCTGGACAGCAAGTCTCAGAGTCCCTTCTGACATCCATTTTGATCTTTTCCTTCTTTCTTGTCTTCTTAATGTTCTCTTGCTTTCTTCCTGAATGATGTTCTTAATGTCATTCCACAACTCTTCTGGTCTTTGTTCTTTAGTGTCTGGTGTATCAAAAATGTTCTTCATTTGTTGTTGTTAGGTGCCATCGAGTTAGTACCGACTCATAGCGACCTTATGCACAACAGAATGAATTCAGGCAGGATATGTTCAAGGTCATATTTTGGCTCTTGTGGACTAGTTTTCAGTTTTTTCATCTTCAGCTTGAACTTGCTTATGCGCAACTGATGATCTGTTCCATAGTCTGCCCCTGACCTTGTTTTGGATGATGATATATGGAACTTTTCCATGGTTTCTTTCCACAGCTGTAGTCAATTTGATTTCTGTGTATTCCATCTGGTGAGGTCCAAGTGTGTTATAGTCTTTTACGTTGTTTAAAAAGGGTATTTGCAATAAAGAAGTTATTGGTCTTGAAAAATTCTATCATGCAATCTGCAGCACTCTTTCTTTCATCAAGGTCATATTTTACAACTACTGATCCTTCCTCTTTGTCTCCAACCTTTGCATGCCAATCACCGATAATTACGAATGTACCTTGATTGCCTCTTTGATCCATTTCAGACTAAGCTGGTAGAATTCTTCAATTGTATCATCACTGGCTTTAGTGGTTGGTGCATGAATTTGAATAATGGTATTAACTGGCCTTCCTTGTTGTTGTTGTTAAGGGCTGTCAAGTTGACTCCGACCCATAGCAACCCTGTATAGGGTTTCCGAGGATTAGCTGGTGAACTTGAACTGCAGACCCTGCAGTTCAAGTGACTTTGCAGTGGCACATTAACCCACAGTGCCGCACCAGGACGCCCGTCTTCCTTGTAGGCATATGAATATTATCCTATCACAAACAGCGTTGTACTTCAAGACAGATCTTGATATGTTCTTTTTGTTAATGAATGTGACATAATTTCTCTTGAATTTTTAATTCCCGAAATAGTAAAAGATGTAATTGTCAGATTCAAAATGGCCAATAACAGTCCATTTCAGCTCACAAATGTCTGATATCGATGTTTATGCATTTCTTTTCATTTTTGACAATTTCCAAGTTTCC